GAATTGTTTTTATATTAAGTGCTTGACAGTTCTTTATACATGTAGAAACAAGTCCTTCAAATTTGCAAAATTTTTTCCCAGATTAGGGCTTTTCATTCCTTAAAAGATCATTTCAAAGAATGAACTTCCTTATTCTATCAAGTCCAAATTACCAATTTTGTCTTTTATAGATAGTGCTTTTGTGCTTTATCTAAGAAATAGCTGACTACCCAACTCACAAAAGTTTTCTCATTTTCTTCTAGAAATTTTACGTATTGAGATTTTACTTGTTTAAAACCTTACTGAGTAATTTGTCTTTCCGTTCAACAATTCATACAGGTTTTGTTTTAGGACATTAATCACAGATTCTACATCATAGCAACATTTTCCAGTTTCTCCCTACCATTCCTCCCTCTAGCCTTCCTGCCTTCTGAGCTTTCTTCCTGGGCAAATGCTGCCTTTTCATCTTGTAAGATTGATCGTTTCTAAGAGTGAGTACCTCCCTGGTGTTATTGTTCCTTTTTTAAGCATATCTATCGTTTGATTGAAAGTTGAACCATAAAGCTTAGTTCCAGGCTCAAAGGATTATAAGGGACATATTTTTGGGCGTCACATTAGTCTCTTTAAGTCAACAACAGGTTTTCCATTTAGTTATATAGTTTGGTTTTATAATTTTTGTATGTGAACATAAGTGTCTGAATACAGCTATTCAAATTTTCCATCACTTGCAAATTTTCTCCAGTAATTTATTTGCAACATCATCAAAGAGCAATTGATCCTATGTAGGTAGAACTATTTCTGGATTCTATTTTATTACATTGATTTATTTACTTATTTACTAATACTGCTGTGTTGGTAATTGTACCCTTATAGGAAATTTTAAAGACAGCTATTCTAAGCCCTTAAGCCCACCAACTGTTGGGTTTTTTAAAATAAAATTTTATTTTTATTTTAACAAGCGTTTACAGAGAAGTTAGATTTTTATTCATTCATTGTTTCACATTTTACCTCCTCTCCCTCCCTTTCCTCTCTCCCAGTTCCCTTTTACTTTTTTAATATTCATTTATTGTTGCATAATTGCCTACCTTTCCCCCCCACCTCAGTCCTCTTCAAAATGATAGTACCTCTCATTTTGGGCTTTTTTATGTATAACACCTAATCATATATTCCTTTCATATATTCCTTTTAAACAGTTCATCCGTTGCAATACAATGGTCACTATCTATCCACTCTTATCCTATTATTCTCCAATCTCCCATGTCAGACCTGTTCTATAACAGTGGTGCTATGCAGTATTTGTCCATTTATTATTGAGGTATTTCACTCAGTATGATGTGCTCCAAGGTTCAGGGTCCCAATTGTTCTTTTTTAAAAATTGTTTTATATTTGCAATTTCCTATGGATTTTAGATGAATCTTTTCTGCACATATACAGAGACTCTGCTGATCTTTATATTGGGTTGCACTGAACATACAGATCAACTTGGGGGAGAATGGCCATCTTACCAATATTGTATTTTCAAATCTGTGCATACAGTGTGTCTCCCCATTTATTTAGGTCTTCTTTTTATCTCTGTCAGCATGATTTTGTTTATTTTTCTGTGTGAAAATTTTGCAAAAATTTTGTCTGGTTTATTGTACAAGTATCTCATTTGTGTAATAAGTGGTTTTCTTTTATTAAATTTCTCTTGATTTCCACCTTTTTGAGAAAGGGTCATACTGCCTTCCAGAGTGGTTGCACCATTTTACACTCACACCAACAGTTTCTCCAGAACCTCGCCAGCATTTGTTGTTTGCTATTCTGTTGAATTTTGCTATTCTTACTGGGGTGAGATGACATCTCATAGTTGCTTTGATTTGCATCTCTCTTAGAGCTAGGGATTTTGAACATTTCTTCATGTGCTTTTTGGCCATCTGAATGTCTTTTTGAAGTGTCTGTTCATATCCTGTGCTCATTTTGCATTATCTACATTGATAACAGGGAGCCAGGAACCAAGACTGAGTTTCCTACTGTAATTCCTAGCCTGTAGAGGTCAGACCTGCCAAGCTTCTCAAATACATCAGTAAGCCCCTCATCATCACATTCTTACTGCTTTGATGATTGGTGTAATCTGGATCTTCCCAGGGAAAACAGCTTCTTCAGTTTTATTAATTCCTTTCTACATTCCCATTTCCCCAAACCTTTTGACCCTTTCCTCTACACTAGTTCAACCACCAAACATATGGTATTGCCACCACACCTTCAGTATGGATGTTGTTGTTGTTGATTGCTGTCAAGTCGAGCACGACTCATAATGACCCTACGAACAAAAGACCTGAAGCTTTTCTATAACTATCGTTTCTCGAAGTTCATAAAGTTTCCAGAGTCATGTTGTTTAGGAAGTGGATACTGCTCCTCCTTCCAAACCTATATTAAACTGGGAGCTCCACCAAACACTGTCCACCATGGGTAATGGTTAAGGCATTTGACACTACAATGACACAAAGTTTAGCATCACAGCAACCCCAGGTTACCTCAGTAGAGCATATTGACAGAAGAGTACTGTACCACTTAGAAGAATGTTCCTCCAAAATATAAATACAACCGACTTTTAAATATAAAGGCCCTCCCCATGGTCTTCTTAACTCTAAACAGGAGGCTTAAATAAAAACAACCAATATAGTATGCTGTTGTTATGTGCCATTGAGTCGCCTGCAACCTATAGAGACCCTATGTGCAGCAGCTCTGAACCATTCCCTGTCCTGAACCAGTCTCATAATTTCTAACACACCAACGCCCATTGCCCCAGAAACTGTATCAATCTATCTCATACAGGTTAGAGCTTCCTAAAGAATTCCTATGTTGTTGTTGTGTACCATGGAATCAGAACCAACCCATAGCTGACCCTCCGGTGGGTTTTCAGTATATCACCTTCAATATATCTTTTAAAAAAAATTTTAAAGAGTCATCTTAGCTGCATTTTAGGAGTTACTTCAGCTATCCTTGCTGGAGCATTAAAGCTTGGGTCATAAATGATTGCTGGTATGCAACTATCTTCTATTGAGTATTAGATCCCATCCCCAGTCTCTCTTACCTGATCCAACACCCTTGGGTTCTACTCTCAGAATGTTTCTGGGGTTCCTGTAAACGCCTGTTATCTAGAATCTGCAGATTGTTCTGAGTAGAACCTAGATAAATAGACTCTGTTTTCCTATATGGGTATACCGAGACTTGACCGAATTGTTATCAGTTGGGAATCAATGAGAAAAATGAGTGTGTCTTGAAAAGGAAAAGGGTCATCCTGCAATGCAACTACCTGAAGTCTGCAGTATCTCCAGGTGAGGGTACAATGCTTCCCTCTAGCTAAGAGGAGGAGGCTACTTCTGCTAGGCCAGAAATTCAAGGAAACCTGGAAGTTCACAATTCTTGGGCTCACCAATCCAAATATTCTTACACCACAATTCAGGGTTCCTTTTTTTTTCTTTTAAAAAGGCTAACTTTCATAGAAAAACTACTGAGGTTGTGCACAGTTTTCTTTGCAGTCCTGCCATCTCTACTATTACTGCAGGGCCAAATAATCAGTACACTGTCCTGCAGCTGCAAATGAGCTTTTCTTCCAGAGTGTGCTACAAAGGCACTTTGGCTTTCACCTCATATCTTAAGCTGACAGAATAAACTGAGGCTATACCATGTTCTTTTTTAAAAGCTTCTAAAACAGTTTACAATACTTAAACAGGACCTCAAGCTTTATCACGCCTTCTAATGCCACATGCATGCTGGTCCAACACTTCCATTTCCACCTACAGTAGGGATGATGCACCTGCATGTGTGGAGGTATTATTGCCACATTTACCTACAGTCATTGGTAATTAGAGACCCTGTCCAATGACTGATTGAGTCACAGAATCCCAACGTAATTGTTCATCTGTAAGGCTATTCCTGGTGCCTACCATTTTATCTTGGGCTTACCTACATCCAAAAGCAAAGCCCAAGACATTAGATGTAATCTATTTGGGAAGTGACCTGAAGGAATCAGAGGGAAGAATACAGGATTGGAACGGGGGGAAGAAACTAACGCTGTGTGATTGAAATGGTCATGGCAATGGATAGCTAGTACTCAATCTCACAGGATTATTTAATGAAAAAAGCATCTTAGAATTTTCTTCTCCAAAGGAAAAAAAAATGAAGAGCATTTATCCACCGATTCATACAACTGGTCAAGGTTTTCACTATTTTACACATTGAGTGCATGTAGTGTCCAGAGGAATTATAATGGGCATTCCAACCCATCTGTTAAAGCATCCCTGGGGAAGAAAGGCAATGAGTTGTCAGATGGCTCCCCTGTAAAGCTATCTGAAGCCCACTGGAAGTGTTTCAGACCACACTAATAGGAGGGGCCGAGAAGGCTTTGGTGAGAACTTTGGCAGAAATCTTCATCACCAACAAAAAAAAGATGTGAAACATTAACATCAATAAAAAAGGGAACACAGTGGTTGTTCATCCAAATAGAACTTACTAGAACAAAAAAGATGTCCAATACAGTCATCCACGCATACAATTAACAGATCTTAAAACTCAGTAGATTCTATAAGAAAATGAATTATACAGTTTCAACATACAACTTTTATTCAAAAATACAGGTCAACATTACAAAGTTGGAAAAGTAAAATACTAAATATTTTAACTATTTTGAGTAGAATAAAAATGACCTTTATGTATTTCTTCAGAAACCTCAATAATATCTTTAATTTTTCAAATACCCTAAAAAAGGCTAAAGTATAATAAACTAAGGATATTTAATGTACTTTTCTTTTGATTCATATTAAAAAAAAACCCTTATTAGAAGAGAAAAAGTATGTACAAGTAGTAAATAAAAATTAGTATAAAGTTTCTTCATTTATTTAAATAAATTAAATAGACAAATAAGAGTTTTAAGCTGTAAAAGAAGTAAATAATTTGAGGGAAAATAAACTATGCTATTACATTTAAATAAACATAGCAAAGATCTATTTGGATGCTGGTTTTCATTTCCCCACTAGTCTTCATGAAGGTTTTGTAGTTGATGACAATGGTGCTTTTTTTTTCTGTTTAATAGCCTTTTCCATTTTCACCTGTAAATTTAAAATATTTATTGTTAATATCATAATAATTTAGAAAAAAATTCTCAAGGGAAAAAAAGGTTGCATATACATCATTTGTATTCATATCTTGTTTATCATATTCTACACCTCATTTAGTAGTTACTAGCTATTAAATATTAAAGTAAAAAATCTGACAGGTAAAGGAACATACCTGAAATGTGGTTTGGGTTTTACTTTCTGTAAGGGCTTTAATAAAAATGACATCTAAATAAATAGTACTTTAGAGAAATTTAGAAATTTCAATATTCTATAAAAAAATGCTTAAACACCCAACCTCACATCATCCAGTTTATGCATATTTCTTGTTGTTGTAGTTGTTAGGTGCCATCAAGTGGAGTACAACTCGTAGCAATCCCATAAACAATAGATCTGAATCCCGTGCTATCCTGTGCCATCCTCATCATCTCTGACACACTCAAGCCCATTGCTGTAGTTTCTGTGTCAATTCATCTCATTGAAGGTCTACCTCTCAGTCGCCGACTCTCCACCTTTCCAGACATGATGTCACTCTCCAAGGAATAATCTCTCCTATCAACATGCTCTAAATATTTTAGAAGAAGCTTTTGTCATCTTTGCCTCCAAGAAGTATTCTGCCTCACCCTTCTGCTCCCAACCCTCACTCCCTTGTATCTCCATACATGTTTTTCACAATAAATTTTTTTAAAAGTAAAAAAAAAAAGTAGTAGTAGTAGTAGTATTCTGGCTGCACCTTCTCGAAGATATATATCTGTTCTTTTGGCTGTCCATGGGATATTCAGCACTCTTCTTCAACACCGCAGCTCAAAGGCATCAATTCTCCTGTCATCCTTATTCATTGTCCAGCTCACAAGTGGTTTTTCTCTGGAACATGAATTACTCTAAAGAAGCTGCTAAACCAGTTGCCATAAATTTTATTTCAAATTATGGTGACCTCACACGTGTCCGAGTAGAACAATGCACTGCCCAGTACATTGGCAGGTGTTTCTTCTAGGGCAACTCTGTTTGGGCTTGAACTCAAGCCTCTAACCTCACTTAGTAGCACATGCATTAACCGTTTGTATCACCCAAAAACATCGTGGAAACCTAAATCACAATTTCTACTTAAAAACCTCACTGCTTTCAAGCCAATTCTGAACTTATGGTGACCATCTTGGGATTTCCTAAGGTGTAAGACTATGCATCTTTCTCCTTTGGTGCAGCTGGTGTATCTGAACCAGCAGTTTCAGTTAGCAGTGCATCATATAAAACTAGTGCCCTATAATTCTGGCATCTATACTCCCACAATGCTCTTCCTGAAGATTTTATCCTTCTCTGTTGTAGTTGAAGCAAAGAAGCAGTACTCATTCAGACCCTAAGTACAAGCCTTTTCACTATGTTAGTACACGCAGGTCCTTTCTAGAAAGAAAGAGACCTCAGAGAACACATAACCCACCCAACTCTTAAACTGCTCATACTCCCACATAAAACTCCCAGAGGCAGTATCATGACCTAATCTTTACAAGAAAAAGAAAATAAATGGCATGACCCTGGAAGTAGGGCCCCTTTCCTTCTAACATGATGGGAAATATCAAGAAACCAGTAAAACTAGTTTATCCAATTTCATCAAACTTACAATAATACACTTCTACTAATAAAATAAGATTCATCTTATCCCTGTTTTTACTACATTTCTTCTCTCTCCTCTCTTTTTGAGATGGTTGGTAACCTTATTCAGAAACCATTACAGCCCTATTATTCTTCCACAATTGATACAATTAACAGGTCACCTGAGACAACACAAAATATCCTAAAGCAAAAATTACAAAGTTGGAGTCAGATTTTTAATCCCATTTTATAATGTATTAAGTATCTGAGGCAAGTTATTTAACAAATAGTATGATGATGAGGATGGTGTAGGATAGGACAAGATTCACATTTGTTGTTCATAGCATAGGGTTGCAGTGAGTTGTACTTGACTCAATACACATAACAACAATAAAATAAAAGAAGATAGATAGATAGATAGATAGATAGATAGATAGATAGATAGATAGTATATATAGTGCATTTTTTCTTACGTTTGTTTGGATACATATGGAGTTCTGGTGGAATAATCCACAGAGAGCTGTCCTGCTAACCCAAAGGTGATGCCTATCTGGTAGTTTGAGTCCACCAGCAGCTCTGAGGGAAAAAGATAGGCACTCTCCTCCTGTATAATTTACAGCTTCCAAAAATCCACTGGAGGATCAGCTATGAGTCAGTTCTGACTGGACAGCAATGAGGATGCATTTTATATAATACACACAAACATATACATATACATACATACATACATACATATACACATTGTTTTATATGTAGGTTGTGTTATATATGTATGTGTGTGTGTATATGTGTGTGTGTGTGTGTGTGTGTGTGTGTGTATAGTTGTTGTGCATCATAGAGTTGAGTCAAAACTGACCCATAGCTGATCCTCCAGCGGGTTTTCAGAGGCTGTTAATTGAACGGGAGGAGATTACCTATCCTTCTTCCGCCAAGAAGTTGGTGCCTCAAACCACATGGCTTCAGAGTGTAGTGCAGCTCTTGTCACTAGGCCACCAGATAGCTAGATAGCTAGACGATAGATAGATAGATAGATAGATAGATAGATAGATAGATAGATAGATAGATTTCCTAGTGGCAGGAGTGGCATCCTCATCCTAAAAAACATGTCCTAAAAACATAGCTGTAGAGGGGCTTCAGGCCTTTTGTTCACAAGGTCGCTTATGAGTCATTTTCAACTCGAAGGCAATCAACAACATACATATTACTAATATATATATCCTAAGACACTCGACTAACTGACATTACATAGAAACTGTGTTTAACTGACCTGATTTATATACAAATTCAACTTAAAGATAGGTTAGGAATTGAACTGTATACATAATCTAGAGACTGCCTGTAGCATTTAAAGAGAGAGAAAATGCTAAACAATAAAGCAGTTTTTGTTCATTTGAAAACAAACATAAAACAAACCTGTTGCTGAGTCTATTAATTTTGGAAATACAGCTATCTAGATTCCTAAAAATCAAAGATACTCTCTTCTTTTTGTTTGTCTGCTTATATAAGGGAGATTTTGTTTGTTTTAAATTAAAATTTTAATTACATTTTATTGTAAATAATTATACAAAGTCTACTAGGTACAAGATACTGTTATGCATTAATATATAGTACTTTTAATATCATAGTACTTTTACTATTAATTTCTTATTTCCATAATTGTTTCTCAATAAAATTCTCCTTTCTGAAAAAAAAAAGGATCAAGTGTTAGTGACAGTGGAAGAAAAGAATTCAATCTAGAATATAATTTACCGGCTTTTACATGCTATCTAAAATTAATTGATAATCTATGTTACTATAAAATTATCCAAGCAGGCAACAATGAATGAACGGAATTCCAAAATCTCTGTAGATGTTCACTGAAATTTAATAAATAAATAAATAAAAAATTTTAAAAAGAGGAAAAAAATTAACCAACCAGAATTATATCAATCATAGATTCTTTTCAAAACTAGATTTGCTAATGATTATCAAAGAAAACAAGCAAAAACCAAACATGAACACAGAATTCCTCTAAGGGAGAGCCTTAACCATATCAGACACAGCTTCTTAAAGGTCCCTAAATGATCCACACTCTAGTTTTGGAATTCTAGGTGAGGTTTAACAATGTATATATGGTACGATTCAACTCAGGAGTTTAGCTGAAGGACTTCTTAGTTTTTTAAAACTCCATTAATGACATAGGTAAAAGAATTTATAAACATATCTCATAAGTCCATTATTCCAAGTTTATTTATTATAAGCAAGATGGAGAGTTCAAGTATATCCTACTAAAACTTTTACAGTTAAGAGCTCTTTTTACTAACTTCCTTGTAAGAAATACGACTGATACATTTTTTGAAGGGAATCGACACTTATGCAGACTTTAGGAAAGGAAGAGAGGAAGTTAGAACCTGGTCTCTAGGGAGCCTAAGAGGAAAAATTAAGTTCAGCTATGAAGTGTGTGTGTTCCAAGGATAAAAGATGATTTGACTGAATGTCCTATACCGAATGATGTTGAAAGAAAACAAACTTTTCTTTCACCAAACCACTTACTGAACATTCTCTCTCTTTTAGACCTCCACTTTTGAAAAGAACTTTCTGCAATGATGGAAGTGTATTGTGTCTACACTGTCCAATGTAGCTACAGTGGCTACTGAACACTTGAAATGATATCAGCATGGCTGAGGAAGTACATTTTTAGCTTTCATTTATTTAAATTTATACTTAAAAAAAACATATATGGTAAGTGGCTACAGCATGGATGTAAGTAGACTATTTCCATCACTACAGAATGTTCTATTGGATAGTGTTGCCCTTACGATGAAAAATTAATTTTGTTTTTCCATACTTTCAGTTACTAAAAGAGTTCTTGGCTCAGTCACAGAGGATATAACAAAAAGCAACAAAAGATTATCTGAAATGGGTTACCTAGTTTGAAAGATCACGAATGTCCTCAAGCAACTGTGAAATAATCCCAAGGAAAGCATTTAGAGGACTCTGTAAAATGGCTGGAATATACCTCATCAAGGCAGCATTCTTTCATATAGTAAAAAAGTAATATAAAACTCCCAACTATAAGGATTGGCAAGAAACATTCCCTAATATATATGAAAAAAGCTCCCCACAGGTCTAAACTCTCCACCATACAAAGTCCAAGTGCTTGACATGTATTAAATGAATATTAATTACATTCATGTTAATTTTTTAAATTTTTTCTAAATATATATTGAAAGACCATGTATAAGTCATTATATTAGATACTGGAAATAATACAAAGATGAGTAAAACACTGTATCTACATAGTTTTTTTGTGGTAGATGGGCAGTCTCCTCTCATATGAATTACAGCCTCTGAAAACCCACTGAGAGTCAGCCACAAGTAAGTCCTGATTCAATGGTACAAGAAGATAAGGTGCTTTACAGTCGGCTGAAAGCTCTGAGCACTCTAGTTACGGAACTCTAGAAATTGCTATAGTGTGTGTGTGTGTGTGTGTGTGTAGACGTATATATAAATCAGACATTGCTAAAATACATAGCCCTGGAAATTGCTAAAATACACATATACATTTACTGCTTTGTTTCCTAAATATCCAATAATTTTTAACTTGAGTCTGGATATGTCAAAAAGCCTCTAAAAAGAAATACTATATATTAAAATTCAAGACACATATAACATATATATGATGATGGTTAAACCTTTTGTTGGCAATTTTACCTGTCTATTTAGTCAATCTTTATGATATCTATGTACTAACTGTTGTTGTTGTTGTGTACCATAGAATCGAAAGCAACCCATAGCTGACCCTCTGGCTGGTTTTCTGAGGCAGTTATCTGCATGAGAGGAGATTGCTCATCTTTCTTCTTCAGAGCAGCTAGTGGACTCAAACAATGTGTCTTTGGGATTGCATCACAGCTTCTTGCCATTAGGCCACCAATGCTAGTAGTATTATATAGCAAATTATTCATTAGTCCTATTTGCCTGAATTGTTCTAAAGAAACCATAAGACCTAGTTCCACCTGTAAGTAAAGACTTTGTAAATTATTTTAAATGATGGTTCATGAGCAATATATAATCATACCACAGTGCCTTTGTTGTAAGCAAATGCTTAATACAGTAGATTTCATCAAAGACCTACCCTTTCCTGGTAACGTCTTTCAAAGAAAGCCATATCATCCTCTTCAGGTCTCCTTAAGGAAGAAAGCTGGCTACTTGTGCCTGCTTATAAGGAGAAAGGGGGGGAAATATAAATATGTGTGTGCTAGAGTGTGTGTTTGTGTGTGTAGCACTCATTCATTGCTAGTGAGTCAGAACTGACTTGTAGTTGACCTTCCAATGGGTTTCTATAGCTATAGTCAAATGAAATGAGATTGCCCTTAACTAACATTCTCCAAATATTAAATAGCAATGCATAACTATTTTATATGAAAGCATACTTAGTTTTGTTCACTACTTTTTCAATTACATGGCTCAACTGGAAATCTGTGTAACTCTATATCAAATGAGCTTTGGTGGCATAGTCCATATGAAGTCCACTATTAACCCAGAGGCCGAACTTTCCTGAAGATTCAAATCCACTAGCCAATCAGCAAGAGAAAAAGGGACAATCTCATTTCTGTGTGATTTACAGCCTCCCAAAACCCTGTATAAAATAATTCCCAAAAGTAATTATTGAGGATTTACATACAAGGAAGTATTACCTGCTTTCAAACGACATTAATGTTGGCCATTTTGCATGGTATCAGATTTGTAAGGACAATCAAACACTAGTTTAAAGGAATCTAAAATTGCTCCAAGAGAGAAAAATCTTTGTAGGTACCCAAAGAGATCACTTCATGGAAAAGTTCACCTTCTTTACAGGTTGAACACTTTGGTTGGGTTCTTTCATTTCCAAAAGAGAGTAACAACCTTACTACTTGTTATTTTTATTTTTGAAGTATAGCAGTTCACCCTGAAACAGCAACACAAAATCAAGCACCCTTCTTGACAGTCACCACATAGTATAATCACACTCCACCAACTACTTTAAGCAAAAGCTTGTTGAGAAAAATAAAATTAAAAAGACTGCTCAGAATATGTTTTTAACTCATTGGGAATGCTGGGTCTATCTGTAGATCAGGCTCAGACTGGACTCACTTTATTGAGTTGCATGCTAATAATATGACTTTGGTTTTTATCAAAATGGGGTATTAGAAATGAGCAACTACATGCTCATTTGCCAAAAAACGTTGTTGTGGACATTGAAAGTTATGTTACAGATTTTTTTAAAAATCCATCATTGATACAGCTTTCATCAGCAGGTAGTAAATCATGTGTCCCTTGTTCTAACAAGGAAAATTATTCAACTGCTTGCCCATTCTTTGGCTGCCACTTTATTCAGCCAAAACTGAAACTTAATACAGGGAATAAAGCAGCCTTGAGATATGGCACAATTGAATCTTTTATCTTGGTTTAATTTCTTATTCTTATCTTTATTTTTTCATTTTAAGAAGTCTTAATATCTCTTATGGGAAAGTTGTTGTATATGGACACAGAAGTAAATCAAAGAAAAGTATAATTTTATAAATGGTTTTAAGTATCAAATACCTAATCATACAAACTAAGGTTCTGATTCTTTGCTGTTTACAGTAATTGAAATATCTTATCATTACTGAAAAAAAAAATGAGATCTACCTATTCTTAACTGATAAATGACGAAATCCACTGTTGTCACTAGTTTGTGTCCCATCTGAGATCCCAAAAGATCAAGGCATAGTCCACTAGAGGGCTCTCTTATCCCATTACCACAATCAGCATGCTGTATCAAAAGGATTTAAAACGTCAGGCTATACTCTTATCAAAATCTTCTAAATTATCAGATTTAGATATTTTTCACTCACATTATGCCTGGACAAAATAAAATAAAGTATTTAAGATCCATTTGAAATAAAATTGAGATTTAAAGAAAGAAGCTTACAAAATGGATTATAAGATTATATTCTTATTTACTATTCCACAAACATTTCCCCAATTCCATTACCATCTGTTGGTGTTGGTTGTGAAGAACTAGATGATGCTTGAAATGCTTTTACAAAAGGGTGATCCATGGCTGTAGCTGGGGAGTCCAGAAATTCAACTGCAGGTGCACCTGAGAAGAACAAAATACAAGAACAATGTAAATGAAATATTTGTAAAGATATAAAGAAGTTATTATTCCACATGAGAATTAAATTAGAACCTCAGCAGGTTATTAGAAAAATTCACTCTATACAAAAGTTTATTTATAATTTTACGTGTCAATAAAAGGGAAAAGGGTGAGAAGAATTCTTGGATTTCTTAGCCCAATTCAGATACATTTTTTCACAGGGAAAACCCCACTATGCACTAATATAACTAACTGCATGGCAGTAGAGATATAAAATGTCTTAAGAACATTACTGTAACTGAAGAAGGAAGAGCAGATCCTTCTTTTTATTATACTCTTCACTAGGAAATCATCTAAAGAGAACCCAAAATAGGAAAACTAAAATTAAAAAACCTATAACCCCTTTGTGATGAAAAAATATCTACAACTCCAAACTACAAAGACAACTGTTAAATATATTGTCTTTTGTGCTAAAAAGAAGCTGCAGGAAACATTTATAAATACTCTATCTTCTTCTCAAACCACTGCTTACCACGTATCCCCACAACCACCCCCCACACCACAGATAGAGGAAACAAATAAACTTTTAGTCCCATACTACTAGTTTAGTCCTTGTCAGTTTTCACTTTCATTGCAACTTAGTGTAAACAGTAAGGGACAATTGTTTAGTCTTTCCCACTCCTTCCCCTCTCTGTCCCCAGCTCCCATCGCACATGACTTGAGGGAACATGTAATTCATCTCTTCTTCTTTCAAGTCTTTGCACTGCCATCTGCACATACTACTCATTTCAAATACTCAACACCGTCTTACTTGTAATTTGGTCTCCCAGAGGCAACCAGAACTTGGTAACCACACACTTGTTATAGATGCACAAATCCCATAAATGTCTTCCACCTATATATCCAATCCCCAAGCCGCAGAATGCTCTACTACACAGAGCTAACACAGCAGCCTCCCAAGTGCCCCATGGGTATTGAAAATGATGTTGTTTTATAAATATGATGAGATAATTGGGTAAAGCTTGGTCCAAACCCCAACACCAAACCCACTGCCTTCAAATGGAATCCAGCTTTTTTCTTATTAGTACAATACTTCATGCACTTGTGTCACTACACACACACACAAAAAAAATACACACAAACACTGCCATCGAGTCAGAACCAACTTGTAGCTGACCCTCTATTGGGCTTTTGAGACTATAAATCACACAGGATGCGACTGCACTTCTTTCTATTCAGTAGCAGTTGGTGGATTCGAGCCTCTGAAAATGTATAACTTTGGATAAGCAGTGTAGCTCACTACAGTCTGATATTGTTTCAACTAAAGGATGCTGATCTGAACCATTGAAGCTGAATCAACTCAGAACTGACACTCTAGTGGGTTTTCAGACATAATAAATCACACATGAAGAGATTGGCCATTTTTCTCCAGTGGAACAGCTATTAGACTCCAACTATGTGCCTTTGGGTTGGCAGCACAACACCTTACCATGCAGCCACCATCTATAAGGGCACCTTAAAGTTTGATACACCTGGAAATTGATCTGAAAATTTATTGATGGAAACTACTCATATGAGGAGTCACTGTACCCCAAGGGATCCTGTTGTCCCACTCTGAAGACTACTAGAATAAAAAAGATATCTCTTCTCTTCAGGACAAGAAAGCCATTAGACTTGCTACTCTGTGGCAGAAAGCAGAGTAAAGTATAGGGAAATAAAATCTCTCCCTTCAGTCCCCTGAAGGGAAGTGATAAAAACTGAGAATGAGGAAAAGGAATCTTAAGCGTTAGTATCCTGATTTCAGGTGTTGGGAGAACCCAGAGGCAGAAGGATTTCTATTTCATTAGTGATGTAAACTCATTAATCCAACAGCCTCTTGCTTGAACTTGGTTCATTTATAATGTCAAAACCATGGGATGTAGCAGTCAAGAAATTAAATGATAAATAAAAGAGTTTGAAAAAGTTAAAAAAAAAGAAATTAAATTATGTATTGCAATTGGTAAATTTGCTGCCAAGGATCTCTTTAAAGTGCAAAAAGACAAGGATATCATTTTAAAGGCTGAGATGTGCTTGACCCAGAATATGGTATTTTCAGTTAATTCATATACAGATGAAAGTTGGACAGTGAATAAGGAAGATGAAAAAGAATTGATGCCTTTGAAGTGTTGTGGAAAAGAAAACTGAATATACCATGCACTGCCTAAAGTGCACACAAATCTGTTTTAAAAGAGGTGCAGCCCCAGTGCTTCTCTAAAGGAAGGATGATAAGGCTTCAACTCACATACTTTGGGCAATCTCCTCCCGTGTGATTTATAGCCTCAAAAGCCCAATAGAGAATAAACTATAAGTTGGTTCTGACTCAATGGCAGTGGGGTGGTGTTAAGTGACACAGTGCCTGAAGTGGTGTGTAGATGACAAAAAAGTGGGATTCAATTTGAAGGCCGTGGGTTTGGTTTTGGGGTTTGGACCAAGCTTTACCCAATTATCTCACTTATTTTTCAATAGTTCTCCCATTTTGTGCTTCCAGTTGCAGTAGCACTACAAAGCTGTTATCGTAACATTATCATTAGTTTTTGCTTCTATTAATTGAGTTTTCTGTAACTTTGCATGCGTTAACAGTCATATTTCATGTGAATCACAAAACTGTTTCTGGAATTTAATCGGTTGCTATGAATTGGAATGAGCTTGATGCAGTGAGTTTAGTTTTGAGCTGTAAAATTACCTAGATAAGAAAAATGCACAAAAACATCATACCAGTTTTTAAAATTTACACCCGCAATCAAAAAGGCTTGGTAGATGATATTCCAATGCACCTATATCTTTATGTGCTATCAGTAGATTTCTATAAAGCAGGAACAATAGAAGGCAAAGTTATAAAAACTTCTTGGCCATAGTCAAACATCTGGAGGCAATGAGCCGCTGAGTATGGAAGTTCAGTACCATAGTCTCAGGGGATGTCAGCATAAACAGGCATGTTGTTGCTGTTGTTGTTAGGTGCCATTGAGTCAAGTATGACTCATAACAACCCTATGAACAAAAGATCCAAGCCCTGTTTTATCCTGCACCATCCTCACACTTCCCGACACACAAGAGCCCATTGCAGCAGTCATCCTGATAATCCACTTGATTGAGGGTCTTCCTCTCCTTCATTATCCCTCCACCCTTTCCAGCTCGTGTTCATCTCCAAGGAATAGCCCCCCTCCTAGCAACATGCCCAAAGTATATGTGGTGAAGTTTCATCATTCTTGCCTCCAAAAAGCATTTCGCTGCACCCTCTCAGATGCATAACAAGTAATAGGAAAGACCATGGCCTGAATTAGATGCACCTTAGTCCTCAAACTGACATCATTACTCCTCAATAATTTGGAGAGGTCTCTAACTGTAGACTTTCCTGGTGCAATAAATAAGACAGTACAAAAAGACAATGTCTCACATCCTACTTTACTGAGTAACAACTGGGGCCTTAGAAAGTTGCAGCTGGCCGTCTAAAATGCAGCTATTGATCTCTCCCCAAGAACCATTAAGAAGTGAAGAAAATCAACCCAAAATGGCTAACAGACCATACGAACTTCCGTTTCATGAGGCTTAAATGAGCAGAAATTGGTGATCTTACTACCACTCTGAAGGGATCACAATAGAAGGTCTCTGATAGAATAGGAGAAAAATGTGAAACAAAACTCAAAATAAAAATTAAAAAAAGAAGAAAAAAGACTACTAGAGACTGGTGGAAACCCCTCCCACAACACTTTAACTCGTAGTCACCCCTTAAGCCTGAAACTGAACTCAGCCCACTCACTAAACTCTAAGCCAAACAATAGGCAGGTGTAGTTGTTGTTGTTATGTGCTATCAAGTAGACAACAACTCAGAACAACCATATGAACTCTGCCCTATCTTGTGCCACCCTCACCATCTCTGATATAGTTAAGCCTATTGTTATAGTCACTGTGGCAATCCATCTCATTGAGGGTCTTCTTTTTCACTGACCCTCTATGATGTCCTTGTCCAGGGACTGGTTCCTCTTGACAGCATACCCAAAGCATCTGAGACAAAACTTCACCATTCTTGTCTCCAAGGAACTTTCTTCAAGAAGTATTTGTTTGTTCTTTGGACAATTCATGGAGTATTATATATTCTTCTCCAACACCATAGTTCAAGGGCATTGGTTCTTCTGTCATCCTAATGCACTGCCCAACTTTCACATGCAAAGGAAGTAATTGAAAAGTCTATGGCTTGAATCAGTTACACTTTAGCCTTTGAACTGAGATTGTTGCTCTTGAACACTTTAGAGAGGTCCTTGACAGCAGATTTTCCCAATGAAGCACAATTCTTGACTGCTATCACTTGTTATGCATCAGAGAGTTGGACAATGACTAGGGAGGATAGAAGGAGAATTGATGCCTTTGAGCTGTGGTGCTGGAGAAAAGTACTGAATGTACCATGGACTGCCAAGAAAACAAACAGATTCATCCTGGAGAGGGTTAGACCAGGCTACTCCTTGGAGGCAAGGATTCTGGAGCTTCATCTGACATACTTTGGGCATGTCGCAAGGAGGGATGGGTCCTTGGAGAGGGACATCATGCTTGGGAGGGTGGAGGGACAGAGCAGGAGGGGAAGGCCCTCTATGAGGTGGATTGATTCAGTGACGGGTAATCGGGATGGGTGTGTCAGAGGCAATGCGATTGGCACAGGATAGAGTAGGTTTTGGGCTGTCGCAAACAACTCAACAGCACATAACAACAACAACAACAGTACTAATTAACTAACTAACTGTTGGTTGTGGTCCAAGTAAGAAGTCATTGACAATTTCTATCTTTCCCCCTATTATATCTATCATATTACTGCATATTACCCAGTGATGAGGACTCTTTTCTTGATGTTGAAATGTAATCCACATTGAAGGTTGTAATCTTTGATCTTCCACAGCAAGCCTTTTAAATCCTTTTCATTTTCAGTAAACATGGTTGGATCATTTGCTTAACATAAGTTGGTAATAAATCTTCCTCCAATCCTAATGCCACATTCTTCTTCATAAACTCCAGCTTCTTGAATTAATTGCTCAGCATACAGATTGAATAGGTATGAGAAGGAATATAACCCTTCCTTGACTTTAAGCGATGCAGTGTTCCCTTGCTCTGCTTAGACTTCCTGGTCTAGATATAGATTTCATATGAGAATAATTAAGTGTTCTAGAATTCCCATTCTTCTCAATGTTAGCTATAGTTTGTTATGATCCACATAGTCAAATGTCTTTGTGCAGTCAATAAAACACAAATATACATTCTTCTTATACCCTCTGCTTTCAGCAAGGATCTATCTGATACCAGCAATCATATCCCTGGTGCCATGGCCTCTTGTAAATCCAGCTTAAACTTCTGGAATTTCTCTGTCAGTGGCTCTAGCTATTTTGGGGTGCTCTTCAGCAATATTTTACTTGCATGTGATATTACTGATATTATTTGATAATGTCTACATTCTGTTGGATCACCTTTCTTGGGAATGGGAACAAATATTAATCTCTTCTAGACAGACACCAGTCAGCTGTCCTCCAAAATTCTAGGTATAGACTGGTGAGCACATCCAAGACTACATCTGTTAGTTGAAATGTGTTGATTGGTATTCCACCAGCTCCTAGGGCCTTATATTTTGCCAATACCTTCAGTGACACTTGAACTTCTTCCTTCATTACCATTGGCTCTTGATCATATGATACTTCCTGAGATATTTCAGTGTCAACCAATTCTATTTGATACAGTGACTCTGTATTTCTTCCATCTTTTGATGTTTCCCGGACCATTCAAGATTTTGCCTATAGCATCTCACTACTGCAACGCAAGGTCTGAATTTCTTTTTTCAGTCCTTACAGCTTTCCTTTTTATTCTCCAGTTCCAGCTCTTTTTATATTCTGTTGCAATACTTTATCTTCTTGAACTGTCCTTTGAAATCTGTTCAGCTCTTTTACGCCAGCATCTCTTCCCTTTATTTTGATTTCTTGGTGTTCTAGTGATATTTTCAGACTTCCTTCTGACATCCATTTTGCTTTTTTCTTTCTCCTCTGTCTTTATAATGACCTTTTCCCCTCTTCATTAACTACAGCCTTGATGTCATCCCACAGCTGGCATCTGGAAGGCAGCCAAGTCAACTAACTCCACCCTAGCCTAAAATATAAAAATAGGAGGGAATTTGCCTGCATATTCCTACAGGTTCTCAGAGTCCTATGGACAATGACATGGAGACAAACCATGCAGAAAACATCCTTTTGGGGGTTGGGGAGGAATAGGAGGAATTATTATTGGAGGATGGGAGACAAAGAGAGCAGAAATAGAACACTATAATGGGCTAGGGAAAGGGAAAATCGGCCCAGAATGAATGGACAACATACGTACTGCAATTAACAATTTGGAACAAGACATGTATAACTAATCTAATGGGGAAGAGGAAAAGGGCAGGGCAGAGGGTGCGGGAGGGAAATGTTAGTTCAGCAGAGATTAGTGGATACATGGGATGAAGGGAAAGACAAGGCACAGTGAGGATCTGATGAAACTGTAATAAATGGCATTGATCAATTTTAATGTTATAAAATAAAATATATATAAATGATTGCATGATGACCATTTTTTAAAAAGAGGAAACATATTTACAGCCCCAGAAACTCCATAGACGGTTCTACTCAGTCCTAGAGACACTATAAGATAGAATTGACTCAATGGCAGTGAGTTTACAATAACATTACGGATAACATCAATAAAAACTTCTTGTAAAAACAAAAAAAAATTCACATGAGAGAATGTATTTGGGGGGAGAGCATCAAGAAAACTATAAAATGCTCATAATGGATTACTATGCAGCACACAGAAGCAATGATTTTATAAATTACTACCTAACTTGGGAGGGACTAGATAGCATTATGCTAAGTGAACTAACTTAGTCCCATAAGGACAAATACTGTATAAGACCATTACTGTAATAATAATAATAAAGACCATTAGGGGCGAGGAGGGAAGCAGAGGGGTGAGGATAGGCAGGGTGGGGTGGGTGAAGGGGTGGTTAATCATGGGGTCACAAAATTTGATGGGTGAAGGGAGGGATGGGTAAAAAATGGGAAAGATGCAGTGTGAAAAACAACGTATACAAACTTTGTAAGTAAACCAGTGCAAAACAAAATATTATTTTAAAAAAAAGAGACTACAAAGTCCTAACACTCAAACTGAGAAACGTACTGTTGTTGAGTTAGAACCTACTCATAGTGGACTCTCCAGCAAGCAAGCTTTCTAAGGGTGTAAATCACATGGGAGGAGACTGTCCATCTCTCCCACAGAGCAGCAGCTGGTGGAGTCAAACCACCAGAGAGGTGCAGCCTTTGGGTTAGCAATCCCCTACAAGACTATACCACCAATGCTACCTGAAAAAAATAAAAGACTTCACAATTGTTAACACATGAAGACAATTTATTAAACTACATTTCATGTAATGTCACTTACCAATTCCACTGTCATCCAATCGCATGTAGCCTTCTGCCAGTGAGCTGAAGCCAGTTAATCCTCCCATGGCTGCATACGGAACATCCCGTCCTACAGGTTTTCCCTGAGCCAGTCTTTCTTGTTTTGTTTCCACTACTGTTTCATGAGTATATGCAGGCTGACCACAAGTACAAGTGAAGCTGCTGTGAAATCCTGAACACTTTGAACCTAAGTCAAGACATGAAAGTAAGTTAAGCTTTTTTAAGATCTAGGGACATGGACTCCTGGATTTGGCCAAAGTTCTGGAAGGGTCCTTGAGGCTCTGTCCTCTGAAATTCTTATTTCCAGCTCCTGGACTCATCTCCCAGCCATTTCTCTCATTTCTGAAAGTTGCAAAGTAGTCAGGGGACTGTGTGACAGAAAAGGGTTTAAAAAAAAAACAAACCATGTATGTACTAGAAAAGCCAACTAGAACTAAAAGTTAATCACTGAAGTGCTTCCCTTTAAGTGTGAGACCTTTCCTCAAATTCTGAGTTAGAAGCTGCTGTGGTAGGGACGGTGCAAGAGCCAAGACCAAGCAAAGAGACAATATGGAAACCTCTATGTGAAACAACTCATAAAAGCTACATTGGAAAGCATAACCACAGAAACAGGAAGCATGGGACCAAGTATTATTGAGGAATAAAAGTGGAAAGAAGCACTGAAACATGCAACAAAAGGGATGACTCTTAACAGCATCATGTTAAGAAAAATAAATCAAACACAAAAGGACAAATGTTACATGATCACACTTGTGTGAAGTATCTAGAATAAGTAAATGCATTCAGATAGCACCATATCTGTTATTATAAGGGTTTGGGATGATAGGAGAATTATTGTTTAAAGGGTACTGAGTTATTCTTTAGGGTGATAAAAACTTTTGTAAACAGATATTGCTACTGCTTAGACCACATGGTGGATGTCATGTTGTCAAAGTCACTGAGTAATACAAGTAAAAATAGTTATAATGGTAAATTCTTTGTTATACATATTTTACCTAGTTCTTCTAATTGGTTAAAAAAAGTCATGTTGTAATTGGTTTGACTACTTTAGGCCATAACAAAATTATCTAGCAGCAAATTATAAAAACAATTTTACTCGTAGAATTCTTTTCAAGAATCAGTAAATAAAATTTAGTTATGTAAACTCCTACTATTAAAAAACTTCTGACAGAACTTCTTTAAAATGACCTGAACTATCTGAATTCCAGACAGTCCCTGGGATACAAATGTCTGACTTAAGGACAATTCATACTGGCCTTTTAACATTATGTAAATTTGCCCTAACTTTAAAATTCTTGAAATATTAGTGTCAACAAATCATTCACTGCATCGATAAGTAAGGCTAACCATATGCATTTGATTCTACTGACCTACAAAGCATTAAAGATACAGGAATGAATCTCATTTGCAACCAAGATATGGTTGTATGACATCTGCTGTTGTTATGTGTTGTTGAGACAATTTCAACTCACAGTGACTCCATTAGACAGAACAGAAGTGTCTCATAGGATGCCTAGACTGTATATATTTACAGAACAGATCTCCAGGTATTGCATAACACAGAGTGGCTGCTGGACTCACTGACCTTTCCGTTGTACTTAACCATTGCACCATTATAAGTAAAAGGCATATAAACAACTGTGGTTTTCCACAAAAATAAAACTTTAGAACATCTAATCATTCAGTTTTTCTAGTTGTTTAATACTGATACTACTACTGAATCAAACTGGTACAAAGGTACATTAAGAACATCTATTTCTGGGTTCTCAATTCTGTTCCATTGGTTGATGTGCCTGTCATTGTACCAATACCATGCTGTTGTGGATACCACTGCTGTACAGTAGGTTTTCAGGTCATAGAGTGTTATACCTCCAACCTAATTTTTGTTTCTCAGAAGTGTTCTGCTTATAAAGGGTCTCTTGTCTCTCCAAATAAATTTGATAATTTCCCTTTCAATCTCCTTCAAAAATTCATTTGATATCTAGATTGGGATTGCATTGAACATGTAGATTGCTATTGGTAGGATTGTCATTTTCACCATATTGAGTCTTCCTATCCATGAAAAGGGCACATTTTTCTATTTTTTTAAGTCTTTTATATATATTGTTTCTTTCAGAAATGCTCTATAGTTTTCTTTGTATAGGTCTCTTGTATCTCTAGTTACGTTCACCCCCAAGTATCTCAATTTGTGGTTGGCTATTAGAAATACACCCAGCTATCTACGGTCAACAGATATTTGACAAGGAAATCAAAGCTCTCTCAAATGGTGAAATGATAACCTCTTTAACAAAAGGGGCTGGCAAAACTGGACTTCCACCTGCATAAAACTGAAATAGGGTCTACATCTCACACCATACACAAAAATCGACTCAAGGTGGATGGGAGTAAAGCCCAAAACCATAACGTTCTTAAGAGACAAACTGGAGTCAAGCTTAGAAGCACTAGTCCAAAGTATAAAGACTGCCATATACAACCAGAAATGCACAATCCAAAGAGGATAAAATTGATGCATAGTACCTTCTAAAGATTAAATCTCTATGCACATCAAAAACTTTCCCCAACAGAGTGAAAATAAAACCTACAGACTGGGAAAAAACTTTTGGTAATAGCATCTCAGACAAGAGTCTTATAACAAAAGTTCACCGAATACTCCCGGGCCTCCACAAGAAAAAGACTGATAACCCAATTACAAAATGGGCAAACGTCATGGAACGAATTTTCACAGAGAACAATATTTAAATGGCAAACAGACACATGAAGAAATGCTCCAAATCACTGGCAATAAGAGAGATGCAGATCAAAATCACAATGAGGTACCATCTCACTCCAGTAAGAGTGTCAACGTTCAACAAGGCAGCAAGTAATAGATGTTGGAGAGGATGTGGCAAGAAAGGAACTCTTACATATTGTTGGTGGGATTGTAAAATGGTGCAACCATTCTGGAAGGCAGTTTGGCACTTCCTCATAAAGACGAACATAGAAATTCCATATGACCCAGCTATTCCACTACTTGGAATACACCTGAAAATATGAGAGCTGAGGTACAAACTGAGATTTGTATACCAATGTTCATAGCTGCATTATTCACCATCGCAAGAACTTGGAAACAGCCCAAATGTCCAACCACAAATGAATGGATTGAGAAATTATGGTATATTCACACAATGGAATACTATGCAGCACGCAGGAGCAATAACTTTGTAAAATATTACCTATCTTGGGAGAGATTGGAGAGCATTATGTTGAGTGAACTAACTCAGTCCCTTAAGGATAAATATTGTATAAAACCATTATTATATAGAATGAGTATAAGAATCCAGGAGGGATGGCAGAGGCTGGAAGCAGAGAGATGAGGATGTGCAGGGGGAAGGGGGGATTAATCATTGGATTGTACAGTTTGATGGGTGGGATGGTGAGAGAAATTGAAAGAATTTGTTCAAATTTGTATTCGAATTTTGTAAATAAACTAGAAGAAAAATAAAAAAAAATACCAAAAAGCTCAAAAAAATTTTTTAAAAAGAACATCTAAAAGAATTAAAAACACTAAGCTATAGAAATTTGCTTTCAAAGTACTATTTGAAAAGTCACAGCACAATGTTGTGTATTTTTATCAGTGTAACTCACACGCAGTGCATAGAAAGTCAGGCAAAGGACTGTGCTGATCCGCGAAGTGCTTGCACCTGCAGCGTATGGGCTGCGTGCCATTCAAAGGGACGTAAAGGTAAGCCCTGCAAGGGCAGCCAGTCACTCGGCAGGGCAGACTGATGGGGCGCTGCTGTGGCATCGTTTCAAAGTCAGTTTTATGTTGTTTGTATCTAAAAAAATAAAAGGGAATAAATATAAAACAATGAAGGCTGTAAAAAATTTACAATTTCTTTCCTGTTAAATGTAAATATGAGTTATCAAAATTAAATACTGTTATTCTTGGGTTTTAGTTTGCTTTCTTGTACTTTTTTTGGCAGTTAGTGTTGAGTCTACATCTCAGAGGCCATATGTGTGTCAGAACAGAATGTGTTCTGTAGAGTTATCAACAAGTGACTTTTCGGCCTTTGTGCTAAAGTGCCTTTCTTTATGTTACTCAAGTATGTTAATAGTTTGCACCATCTACCTGTTCCTGTTAAATCAACTGCAACTCATAGTGACCTTAAAGGACAAACAATTGCCTTATCCAGTCCAGGGTAATAAGCCAGTATCTAAATGCACTGCCAACCCCAAAACAGGCTGTTCAAATCCACCAGCAGCTCCAAAGAAGAAAGATGGGCAATCTCCTCCTATGTGATTTACAGTCTCTGAAAATTCATTGGAAGGTCCTGACTTAATGGCACATAACAACAAATGCAAAATTAGGGGATCTGATAGCACCCTGGCTAAGTAATCAGCAATTAATTGAAGTTTGCTTTGCATGTGGAAAACCTGATAGTCGGCTTCCATACGAGATTCACTGCCTTAGAAGCTCTACCGGGCAGTTTTACTCTAAAGGGTCACTATGAGTCAGAATCTACTCAACAACAATGGTTTCATGTCTGGTAAAATGTTGATCAGCTTTTTTGCTTTGGTCAAAGAAAAGCTGACCCCCTTTTAGATTTTTCTTTGTAGTTGTTTAAGAATTCTCAAGTAACATATAAAATTTATATAATTCCCTTAAAATACTTAGCACTACAGAGTCTTTAAAGTAGAAATACAAATTAAGAAGTTTCTTTATAGAATTTCTTAAATCAATATGTATGACTAAAATGCATTTGCAAAACCTCATTACTTAAATTAAGCTTAATAAACCTATTAGAATTTCTTTTCAATGTAATTTATATTTCAACTTTTTAAAAAATATCAACTTTTTCCAACGTAAATCTTTCTTTCTATAACCATTTGCAGAGCATCATGAATCAAAATTTGATTCTGAGAGCTATGCTTTGTTAATGTAGGCACAGCATTGTTGAATGATTTTTCAACTTTCTTAAAGCCAATGCTCCTTGTTAAAACACTATCATTTTTTACTTACACATACACTTATATTTCATAATGTGTTAAGTAAAATAAAATTAGATTCTGAACATCAAAGAAATGCAAGTTAAACTTACAGTAAGATATTTTTCACTTAGCAAAATATTTTTCTAAAATAAAAACTCTCATAATGCTAGCAAACACATTTAATAATATTTTAAGAAATTTTAAAAGACCAATTGTTTAACCCAGAAAGTTTACTTTTTGTAAATATACTTAAGAGTTTTTCCCACAAAGATAGTATTATCATGAAAGGAGCGAATATGGTGGAGTGAGGCACATCCCAGTAAACAAGCCTTGGGGCCAGCAGACAGGCTGGCCCTGAGAAATCTCTTGCGTTTAATGAATTATGTGGCTTCCTCATCACAAGAAGAACATTTTCCTTGGCATTTAGGTACTTTTATATTTTCTTTATCCAAGAAAGAAAACAAAATTCTTCACTCAGGACTTAGCAACCATTTCTGTGCTGTCTCCTACATCAGGTACTCCTGCTTCTTTAATCCAGTCACCTTACCTAGTCTTCAAATTTGGATATCGCTTCCCTACAGTTGACCTCTAGGATTGGGATGGAAAAGGCTGCTTTTCTATTTGATTCCACTTCTTAAAATCAACCTAATAAAGTTCCTAAATCCAGTCATTCTGCCAACTTCTCCAAAGAATCAACTAGTATAGGTGTTCTGCTGCTGTTTACTTACTTGTAAAACTTGTGTCTGATCTTAATTGGAAACACATGCTTTGGTGATATTATTTTTGAATCCTTTACCTTTTGCTTCATAAAAAGACTAAATAAATAGCAGGGGTGGAGGAATAATACTTTGCAGTATTAGCTTAAATGATGGCTTTTCTAGTCATTACATTCGCTCCCTTTGGCTTCCAACTACCTTACCTACAGACACATGGCCTTGCAAATCATCAACACCTGTGGAACTAGGATAAGGCAGTGCTTCCCACACTGAGCATCAAGACTTGAGGGAAATTAGAGCAAGAATTTGGTGAGACCCTGATGAGAACGAGATTGTGGTAAGAACAAGACCCTGGTGCCAAGACCTTGGTGATGGTGGTGGAAAGTCTGTGGCATTGCTGTGGAGAAACTGTGGCAAAGTGTAACCAGAGGAGCCCTGAGATAAAGGCCACAGTTAAAAGTTTTGCTGTTCTTGCCAAACAATGGAAGGAAAAGCTGATTGCCAAACTGAAACCAGAGCCTGGACTAATTGAGGAATTGTCCTTGAGACTACTGAGCTAAAACCTGGAGTTGCTTTGAGTGACATTCTTTGCCTCCCCCTTCTCAATACCCTAAAACTGTGAGTTAAGTTTGTAAGTTAACAATGAGTATCAGACCTAAATGACTGGTAGAAATACGTGCAAGAGCATGAAAGGTGGAACGTCTGCTGAGCAGCTGTTTGCTGCTATGGACATTATAGATTAGGACAGTTCCTCTTTATGAAGTGGGCAGAAGTCATACTTTGCCACCACCCCCACAACTCATCTGCTCCTCTCATAACTAGCAATATTAAAATAGCTCTCTCTATATATAAAAATTCCTGAACAACAGTTTATATACTCTTTAGCAATAAAATTCATTCACCAAATGTTTTCAGAGAATATAATATATAAAAGATAAAAACAAAATTAGTTCAAAGAGAAGAGTAGTAAAGGAAAGAGCAGAAATTGGAGTTTTCCCTTCCCCCTAACCTGGCCACTCAATGTTCCATATCCCGGATAAGTATGTTTATGGAAGAAACTTGCTGGTTGATAAAAAACATCAATGCTGGCGAGAATAACACTCCTCTTTTTGGGACACTGAAGTTCCACTCTTCTAGACCTTGCTTGGCCTATGCATCTCTTCACTGGTAATTTTTTCATATATAATAAAATTATAACTAAAAGATTTTTTTAAAAACCCACAAAACAAAATGACACTGAAATGATTTCTTTGGGAAAAGAGGCCTACTGTATGTGACATAATAATGTCTGTCTTCTGTATTTAATATGTGGTTAAAAAAATTAAAAATAACAACCTGCTTTTGTCAAAAAGGCAGAGTCAGTTAATTAACTGTTGCAAAAATAGTTCAACAGTGCTGTGCTGATATTGAGCAAATCACAGCCCCCAGAATAAAATTTTGATTCACTGATACTCTATAGATAGTTATAGAGAGACTGCTGATGTTGAAATTGAGCATGCTTAAGTAACTAAAATATTGTCAGCCACAGTCAAGTCATCCCCAGTTCATGGTAACCCCTAACAGAGGATCAAACCATTGACAGTCAAATCATCCCCAGCTTACCTGTAGCAGTGTCAAATCAGCCCCGTTCACTGTCACCCCTAACAAGGGATCAGACCATAGTGATCTACAGGGTTTTTCCTGATTGATATATTGGAGTTGCATCACGAGGCTTTTGTTTCTAGTCTAGCTGAGTATGGAGGCTTCAGTGAAAACTACTCCGTATTGTGGCAACTTGCAAGACTCTGCTGACATGTACTTGCTACACTTGAAGTACATTGAATGGGATTCATACTCAGGGCTCCTACATGGAAGATGAAAATTCTATCATTGAACCTCCCACAGCCCCCAAATAAAATATTGTTGTTGTGTGTTGTCAAATCTGGACGGACCTATAGATGACCTACCAATGGTTTTTCAGAGGCAGTTTAATTGCCCAGGAGATGATTGCCCATCTTTCTCCTGGGGAGCAGCTGATGGATTTGAATTGTGTGCCTTCCATATTACAGCACAGCTCCTTAACCATAAAACCCACCAGAACTCCCTACCTAAAACATTCACAACTATAAAAAGGGAAAATTGGTTATGTGAAAGTGGCAGGCTCCATTGTACAAGAGTTATGAGATTGAAATCAATGGGGTAAACAGAAAACAAAAGTGTGTTTCTTTTGGGCTAAATGAAATTCTGCCTAGCTGGTATATGTCTGCAAATAAACTGTCAGCAAGAAAATATATACAAATTAAATTTAAATACCCTAATGATTCAGCTGAATCAAAATGAAAGGGTTTTGTTTGTCTATTTATAACTGCACCAGAAAAATTCACAAGCAGCACAGAGAGAAATGGAAAGTCTCCTCCTGTGGGTTTCAAAGCCCTAGAAACCATTTAGAGGGTCTGCTATGAGTCAAAACAATTTGGAGATAAAGAAGAAAAAGCTGTATATTAAATCTCTTTTAACAGGTAGAAGGTGAAAAGTATTGTTCTCTATATTATTCTGAATCTTTCTTGCTAAACTGTCATATTTAATTACTGGAATAAGCAGTGACAAGGAGCTAGAAAAATTCCCCCCAAAAAAAGAGTCTTTTAAAACTTTTAACCACAACAGAGTTGGTATGTTGATAGTCCATACTTGTTGAGGACAATAAAATTGAATTTTCTTTTTTTTAATTTTATACTGGTTTATTTACAAAATTCATATACATTGTTTTTCACACTGGATCTTTCCCATTTCTACACACACACCCTCCCTCCACCCATCAAATTGTGCAACCTTATGATTAACGCCTCCTCACCCCCAACCCATCCTCAGCCCTCTGCTCCTCCCCCACCCCCTTGGATCCTCATATTCCTTCTACAATAAAGGTCTTCTATAGTATTTGTCCTTGTGGATCTGAGTTAGTTCATTTAGCATAATGTTCTCCAGTCATTTCCAAGTTAGGTAGTAATTTACAAAATCATTGCTCCTGTGTGCTGTGTAGTATTCCATCATGTGAATGTTCCATAATTTTTTCAATCCATTCTATTGCGGTTGGACAGTTGGGCTGTAAGAATTAAGGTTCTTTTCAGAATTCAGGAACTTATGTATATTTTGTT